GCATGCTCGCTGGGGAATTCTGGGAGTTGAAGTCCATACAGTTTAAAATTGCCAAGGTTGAGAAACACTGCCATAGAGAGAAAGAGGTTTTCATCCTCATTCAGTGTATCCTTAATTAACTTAAGTTCATAAGTTCATAAAAAACAGTCCCTCCTGTTCAGCAGGGATATTAAAGGCCAAGGAGAAAATGCAGTGATGGGGGTTAGGCCATGTAGGACCACTCTGGGTCATTCAGCTGCTAAATCAGGATCTCATTGCCTCCCTGAGTTTCCCACGCAGTTGATACTAAATGTATTTTTGTCAACTCTTAATAAGAGTTGTTCTGCTAAGGATACTGGTCAATCAGAAACCATATCCTTTTCCTGGTTATTTTGTTACAAACATATACCCATTTTCAAGGTTTTTTCCCCAAGCTGGTAGTCAATATTCTAAGGTTATTGAGCAGGCTTCCTCTATAAGGTGCTATTTGGGTTTGTAAAGGCTACATTCCCACAACGAGCTTAACCAGGCCAATTACCAACCTAGCAGCTGCATTCTCGTGATACTTTAAACTTGGCTAGTAATAATTCTGGTTAGGTTTCTTTGTGGCTTAGTGCATTGGGAGAACCCACTCAGTCCATTTGATTAGGTTTTGGTTCAATCTATTTACAAACCAGGACGATGGGGTACTTGCTTGAGTGGACTAAGTGTGCAAAAGCAACTCCAAAGTAGGACTCAGCAACACTTGGATTGTCTCTAAAAGGGGTTTAAGTCCTCTATTGTGCCTCATCCTGTCCAGAGCACTTTTTGGACTGAACTGAAGCTCTGCTTAACCCTACCACAAATTCTTTCTCCTCCTCCAAACAGCCGTCCCCAGCTTGCTAATATCTCCCCTCTTGCTTCTGATTAGCCCTCATCTGATAACAATCTTGCACGACTCAAAGCCACTTGAGTTTGCCACTAGACTAACTTATTGCTCCCATTAGTATCACACCAGGAATGGGTGGTGGATTTTTTTTTAAAACCTCGGATGTAGTTTAAGCTTGATGTTATTTGATATTAGTTTTTAATTGTGCCTAGCCGCCCAGACTCGCTATGGTGAGATGGGCAGCTGTCATCAGTGCGAGGAAGTGTGGGGTTTGCTTGACCTGTCAGGCTTGGTAGGGGTGTAGTTTCCAGCTGCACAGTTTATTGTCAAAACTGGCAGAGCAAGCTAGTGCCTATGAACAGGGAGCAAACCCCACACTCACTCACACTGATGATGTTACCCTAGTTGGGTAATGAAACATCTGCAAACAAACAACCAAGCTTAGAAAGCACCAAGAACCCCACACTTCTCTTGGTTCCTGGATTCACCCATGTTAGGTTCTCATGAGCCACACACTAATCAAAACAGGCTAGGTTCGCCCATCCTGCAAAGCCACAAAAACCCAAGCTGAGGTTAAGACTCATCAAGGTCAATGTGTTGTGTGAATACAATCACTGGGCCTTTCCCTGGGCTGGTGAAGCATGAGTGAGGACCCAGCCAATGAGCAAGATGAGAAGATGGATGGAGCTTCCTTTACCTGTATGTACAGCTGCTGCAGTTGGACCCATAAGAACCGATTGTGGGTCTTTGGAGCCCAGCGGGGCCCAAGCTGGGATAGGTTTCTCGGGCTTGGGCTGGCCAATGGTTAGAGCACCTGTTTGGGGCAGAAAAGACATGAATTGTAAGGACCTCCAACTGCTTCCATCTGTGTCACATCTGGACGGGGACAGGCAGAAGGTCACCTGGACAGCAGGCCCGTTTGCGGTCCTGAGGGGAGTCGGCCAGCATCATTTCTTCTCCATTTGGGCTTTCAATCAGCATAGCTGTGTACGGGGTCACAATGTGGTGATCCAGTGACATCTGCAAAATGGCCTTGGTGATGTTTCTTTTCAGTGCTGCTGTAGGAGCTACATTTCTGGCAACATTCAAAAAAAAAAAAGAAGGCAAAGCCTAAACTCAAAGACAGACAACCGTTTGATAATATTAGGTGCAAATGGACCTCCATTAATTAAGGTCAAGCCCCACAGAGCTGGTCAAGACTGAGGACGCAAGAGCCACAGACTTCAGCATGGTTCCTTGGAAATCGTAGGAGGAGTTTCCCATGCGTCTTTGTTTGCATATTGAAGCATTTATATGGTGCCCAGCTCAGACTATGTGACTCTAAGCAGTGTACAACAAATTCTAGAGGTCATTAAGGGAGTCTCTGAAAAATTTCAAATGCTTCTTCCCAGATTTCTCGCCACTGGGGCTGAGTTGCTACCCATGGATTCCCCTTCTGCCCCTTGATGGTTTCTATCTCCTTTCTCTTCCATTCTCAGCCTCCAATCTCACAATGCTGCTTGATCCCCTTAATGAATATCCTGCTGTGAGGTTGTGCCATCACTGATCACACCCAGGCAGATATGGCTGTTCATCTTCAAGATGGGTTCTAGTGATCCATCCTTGTCATTTCCTTGGCTTGATACAGAGTTGCTGCTGCCTTTTTCTAAAATGTTACTTTTATTTCCCAGTCTAGCCTACAGCCCTTGGATGTCCTTGTGTTCTCCCATCTACATCTGACCTTGCTTGCCTTCCAAGCACGAACAGGATTGGCCAAATAGAGCTATCTAGCTAGGCGATACATTGAAGTATCAACTACAAGATGGGATGGGTTCACGCTACCTGCTAAACCACATAAAAATCAACCAGGTTTAATACTAGTCAAGCTTAGGACACTATGCATCTGCTTGATCTTGTGACTTGGATCAGCATAGTGTATAAACACAGTCAGTGGTTAAGAATAACCATGTTCTTTCCTTCTCCGAGGTAGCTGCTAGCCAATCCAGTCTTCCCTTCTTACCTCTCAGCCATGAGTTGGTTGACAGTAAGGTAGGCCCACAACTTTTCTGTGAATTTGGGATCGGCATGCTTATCCTTATTCAGAAATTCATCCAATCCCTCAACATCTGCCAGAGTCTCCAAGATTAACTGGGCATCGGACTGATTGAAAAACAGAACAAAACAGAGAGATGACAAATGTCTAAGCTAGCAAACCCAACTTCAATATTTTGTGCTTCTCACCATCGGCTAAAATGGTTACTTCATCCATCCTGTCTCTAGTCTCGCTAGAAACAGTTAACTATTCACCCACTGGAGAAAATCTGTGAGGTAGGTTAAAGGATCTGTTACCCATCCTCTTCACTTGCTCCCACTTGGAGATTTATTCAGGATTCCAGATCAGGGCTGCAAAAATCTAGATGGCTGTTAGCAAAGAGAAACCATGGCCCTGAAACCATGGTTGACGCAGCAAGTGAAGAAAAGTTTTTGGTTCATGTAGGACTCCTGCTCACCCAGGGTGAATTCTGAGATGCACATATCAGCCTCCGACCAATAGCTGCTTTAGTACAACTTTCTCCTACATGGGATTTGCCAAAACACCAACTTTCTCTGACCTGGGACTCTCAAACTCCCTTTATTCCTAACTCTTGGCCATGCAAATTGAAGCAGAGAGGACTTATAGCTGGAGAGAACAATGACCAGGGCAGGCTTTTCTAATGACTGTTCTGGTTTCAGTGGGTCATGTTAAGAAGAAATGACCACTGCACACAAACCAAGTCATGCAACTGTATTGACTTTGGGGGGGAAATGATCACAAAATCATTGTTTTGAAGAGTTTTCTGCAAAGTTCTAAGCATCTAAAGGTAAATTCTCCTTTTAGTCATGCTCAACACCCTGCAACTTCAGGACACATCGAGATTGTTGGCAACGGTATGGAATTGGCTCACCATTACTATATTTAGGGAATTACTTTTTCCCTTATGGTAATATCTCAGCCTAGATTACTTCCCCAGGATTTCTCGTTCAAGTTCTAACCTTGCTTAACTTTTCATGATTAGCCAAGATCAACTTTTTGCTGTCACCTAGGTGGGTTCTATGTAGCTAGAGGGAGAAATATCTGGAGCTAGGTTTGGAGAAGAACGTACAGCCTCCTTTTGTCCGGAAGACTCACAATTTCTCCACAAAAGTTTGAGAAAATTCCGATAATTCCACAAATTCATCACGTTTGGGTAATAGCGAGGTGTACTTACAGCTGTGGCTGTTACAATGCTCTGTAAATGCTGCACATTTTCGGTGTCAACTTTTCCTGATACCACAATCTCTGATCCTCCAAAATAATTCTGGAAGCTGCTCTGGGTTACATCAGACACCAATCCTTCGGGATAGTTGAACTCCAGTTTTTTGAGAAGTGGGGTAGAAACCTGGTTGTAGAATTTCTGCAAATTAAAAAAAAAAAAAAGGATAGGCACTAGACGTTTACTTTTGAAAGACTCTTGTGCCAGAGGTGTGATATACATCCCCCGCTGAGTCCTTATGGACCTTCATTCTAATCCTGGACACTCATCACTATTTCTAGAACTTCAGGAACAGCAGCAAAGACAGAAATGGACTCAGTGGATAAAGCAAATCTTGGTTATGCTTATGATCAGGATCCTGATATAAAATCATCACATCTGGATTGCCAAGGAATAGTGTAACATTTCTGCTGGAAATCTCCCCAACCACTTTGGAGACCTGGTTGTGGATATGTGGAATTTATGAATATGAATATGAATATGAATTCCACATATCCATGACTGGATCTGACCCAGCTCTTCCATCCAAGACTCTACCGTTCTCAATTTGTGAGAGACAGCCCATGACTGAACCTAGTTTCCTGATGAGGCTTTTCAATATCTGAAACTTTACCTTCCACTGTTTAGGGCTGGTAGAGGTTAATAAAAAGACCTTCTCAATCAAAAGCACCTGAAAGCCTGGACAATTTTCCAGATCCCTTCAATCATTAACTTTACAGATTTTGTTGGCACAGTCAAAACGAGTTAGGCCAAAATATGGAAGGAAACAACCATCTGAACTGTTAAATTGGCGACCTAGATTATGGGACAGAACTGTAATGGAGAAAACTACCAAGGTTCTATAAAAGTCTGTAAAAAGTCAGAAGAACATGTTGCCTCAGGATTTCTCCTCCCCTTCTCCCTTCTTTTACTTCGCAAAGGACAATGGAAAGTCACCTTCATCTGAGAAGATGTCTCTTGATTTCCAAAGATCCGTTGTGCGGCTCCATTGTTTTCAGTACCCAATCTCTTCAGGAAATCATAGTCCACATCAAAGCCAATTCCAAGACAGAACAAAGAGGTATCATCCCGGATATTCTTCTTCACATTTTTCTGAATTGTTGGCAGTTTTAGTTCTCCTGATAGGAAGGGAAAAGACAGAAATGGGGACATTCTCCCAGGACTATCCTCTTAAAGCAGTGTTGGTGCACACCTACCCCCTCCTACACAACACTAAGGGAGAAGAAGCCCCACCACAC